ATTTTTTTTCGAAAATCCGAAGCATTCGCTGTTGTGGTAAGCTTACGAGAGGATTTCTCTTCAACGAAAGAAAGAAGGTATTTGAAGAAACTCGACTTTGAGTTCGCGATGCTGACTTTGGCCTTTTCTTTGTTCTCTTGGTCGAAGAGGGAATCACGTTTCTCCATTTTTTCATAAAGTAATAGCCTTGTAATTCTGAACGTGCTCCTGTATTAATACTAATAAAATTATGCTCATTTGATTTCACCCGAAATACATCGTTGCAAAACATAGTGTCTCATCATGGGATGTGAACATTTGGAGATTAAAACAAGAATCAGAAGAAAAACAACTCGATCTGTTTCTTTGTAACATCTTCGTGATAAAAATTTTATATTTTTCTGAGTATAAGTTACTAAGCAATCCATACGAAAAAATGATAACTATTCATATATTTTCAAAAAGATATTTTAAATTAATTCAGATATTTCAAAACAAGATATTTTCTGAATTGCGATTAACTGATCAAAGAATATTTTTTATTTCGAGGAAAATCAAGCTAAATTTAACACTAGAACTATCGACGATTAAAGCACTAAATTTCTCAAAAATTTGAGACATCGAAGTTCAAAAAAATAGGGAAACTTCGTAATACAATGGAGAGTGTAAGCTTTCATTTATACATTTTACAAAAAAATTATTTAAATCTTTTAAAAATGTCTGTAAGATAAATGTCTAATAAAAAATTGTAAATTGTAAATCATTTCCTGTATGAATGTCCAACAGAAATTACAAATTGGTCAATTTGACCACTTCGATAGGTCTAGTGTTAATGAACGTGCGTTTCGACAGCAACATAAAGCGCAGAGTAACAGAGGGGACGAAATCGGAATTTAACTCGGTCGAAAGAGTATCTGGCAGGAATGTAAATTTCTACCTGTGCAACAGACTCCTGCGGGTTTGGAATCCCGTGTAAGTGTAACGGCGAGGACAACGCCACATATGGTTTCGTGTATGTAGCATGAATGGGGCTGTGGCGCTAGCGAGCTTTTTGCCAACACGAAAGAAGCGGAGCTATTTATCAGTGGCCCTGCCTTGAGCATACTAAGCGGCCTTTTAATCAGTACCGTGATTTTTCCCCTGCTGTACGAAGGAAGGAAAAGGAAAAGCAGCTACCCCGGATACGTCAACCGGGGACTGGGGCTAGAACGCAAGAAATCCTCGTATTATCGTTTAAACGTCTTCATTGAAAATCCATTCGCCGTGGATGCTTTTGTGCATGGAATTACATCCGGAGAAACGAACGCTTGAGAATAAGTATCCGACTTATTGAAACTCGAGCTGAGGAGAAAATACCAGCGAACATCAGTGAATAAATATTGTAAATTTTAAGTGTCAGAATTGAGAAGAAAAATACGAATAAGTAGTTAGAAATATTCGAACTTCGTGATCGACAGATTTGTATGGAACTGGACGAGGATGTAAAAATTGTTCCAAGAGATATATTATTTAAGAAAGAAAAGAATGTTTATTATTCGCGAAAGATGGATCTACGAATTTCTGTAGATTTCGCCTTACTTCGTCTTTTAACTTTTTATCATCAAAAGTCATACTAAAACTTGGCGAATGCTAACTTAGAAGAATTCAACTTTGTAAATTCAATTCTAACAAGTCGTAGATAAAGATATAATTTGGTGGTAAAAATATGAGGCTTAGACATTTTTCCAAGAAATGTTAGAAAACTTAACGAATATATCTCGACGCAACAGGAGATAAGAGACGTAATCTCCTATTTAAATTCCATCGTTTGAATTTAGAAACTTTCTCAACTTTCCATCTATCACGACTGAAATTAAAAGTTATAGTTAGTGATTGAAAGATACAGAAACGGAATCTTTGAATTCTAAGATAACTAGTACATTAGAATATTGGATATCCTAATATTCATTGCTCTATTTTTTTTTTTTTTTTT